GCCTGCGCATGCGCAGCAGCACCCAAGCGGCGCAGCGTCTCTAGGTGGCTTCGCTTCCGCGGCGGTCGGCACCTGGGCCCCGTTGCGCGTGCGCAGCGCGGCTGGCTCCTCCCCTTCCCCACCCCTTGGATTCCAGCTTTGCTTTTCAGAGTGCTTTTGCTCAGGCCTCCAGTGTTCTTTGAAGTTCCCTATTCCCCCACCCCCACTTCCAGTCCTCAGTTTCCCATTGTTCTTTTCTGCCTGTGATGCTTTCTCACCCCACCATTTGTTTGTTTTAAAATCCCTCACGTGTTTACTTGATACAAAAATCATACTGGTCTGCCGGTTTCTCATTTAGTCATTCGTTGAAATTTTAACAAGCAACAAAAGAAAATTTAAACCGGGGGTTGGTGGCCCATGCCTTTAATTGCAGCATTCAGGAGGATAGGCTCCAAAGCTACACAGAGAAACCCCCGTCTCAAAAAAAAAAAAACAAAAAGGAAGCGAGTGCCAGGATAGGCTCCAAAGCTACACAGAGAAACCCTGTCTCGAAAAACCAAAAAAAAAAAAAAGGAAAAAAAAGGGGCTGGAGAGATGGCTCAGAGGTTAAGAGCACTGACTGCCCTTCCAGAGGTCCTGAGTTCAACTCCCAGCAACCACATGGTGGCTCACAACCATCCCTTATGAGATCTGGTACCCTCTTCTGGTGTGCTGATATACATGGAAGCAGAATGTTGGATACATAATAAATAAATAAATAAATAAATAAATAAATAAATAAATAAATAAATAAAATCTTTTTAAAAAAAGGAAAAAAAGAAAATTCAAAACATATAAAAACTGCGTTCTTTGTTTAAAAGCGTATTAGCTCTGGGCATAGTGGTGCACACCTTTAATTCCAGAATTTGGTAGGCAGAGACAGGCAGATCTCTGAGTTCGAGGACACCCTGTTCTACATAGTGAGTTCCAAGATAGCCTGGGCTATGGCTAGATAGTTTTATGTCAACTTAACACAAGCTAGTCATCTAAGTGGAGGGAACCTCAATTGAGAAAATGCCTCCATAAAATGGCTCTGTAGACAAACCTGTCAGCATTTCAAAGGCTCAGATGGGAGAGAAGGGGATGGATTGTTGCACTCGGGAGCCAAAGAACACTGAGTGTTACGGATCAGATGGAAAGTATTCTGGCACTTGGGAGCTAAGAAATACCACAGGTCACAATTAGCAAAGCAGCTTACAGCCCTGCTTCAAGGAAAGGCTTCCCAAGTGTATCAGCTCTGCTCCTGCAGGAGAGGGTTTCCCTGAGTAGTTGTTACAGTTCAGGTCTTTTCCAGGGAGATATATATATATATATATATATATATA